CGAAAAGCTGAGCGAAACGCTAAGCGAAACGCCAACCTAAAGCTGAGCTGCAGCTAAGCTAAAGCTAAGCGGAAGCTAAGCTAAAGCTAAAGCTAAAGCTAAAGCTCCCAGGGGACTGGGGGGAACCGCTCCCAGGGGGCTGGGGGGAACCGCCCGGGGCGCTTTCCACTGCCTGGCCCCTTTAAGCTAGAGAGTAAGAACCCTTCTAGGCAGAGTCTAGGTAGGGAATGCATGATATGTTATGCTACGCTTTGCGATGCTGCGCTATGCTGCGCTACGCTATGCTCTGCCATGCTAAGCTAAGCGAAGCTAAAATGAAGCTGGGCAAAGAGGGAAACTGGGCGTTTTCCATTGCCTGCTGCGAGGCGCGAACCGCAAGCTGCGAGGCGCGAGCCGCTCGCTCACTCACGGGGCGTCCTCGACCTGGACCTCAGCCGCAAAGAGCAGAACGAACGCCCTTGCGCCCAGGCGGACCCGGCGGGGTCTCGGCGGCGCGTCCTCGACCTGGACCTCGTCCTGCGGGGGCATGGCGCCCGGGTGGGCTCGGCGGGCTCTCGGCGGCTCGTTCTCGACCTGGACCTCGTCCTGTGGGGGCCTGGCGCTCGGGCGGGCCCGGCGAGGGCCCGGCGCGGCGTCCTCGACCTGGACCTCCTCCTGCGGGGGCCAGGCGTTCGGGCGGGCCCGGCGGGGGCTCGGCGCGGCGCCCTCGACCCGGACCTCTTCTCGCGGGGCTCGGGGCCCGCGCGGGCCCGACGGGGGCTCGGCGGGGGCCCGGCGCCATGTCGCCCCGGCGCCCGCGCGGGTCCGGCGGGGGCGCGGCCCACGCATGCTCGCAATCGATCAGGAACCGCCGTATTGCGTCTGCAGGCTGCGTAGCACTGCAGATTGGGCGTCGGATGCTGGAGAGCAACGCACGTTGAGTTCCGATGATCTGGAACAAGTACGCGGAGAAAGCGCTTCGTCGGAGCTGGCGAGCTTTTTGCGAATCGCCTTGGCGCCTCCCGCTGCGCAATCGCTCGTACTCCTGAGCACTTTCCGGCCTCGTCCACGGCCCATGGTCATTTATCCACTCCTTGGTGATTTCTTTCATGTGGGAATCCGTGAAGATCACGTCGGAAGCCAGGCCCGGCCTGCGGCGCAGTTGATTCACACGCTGTTCTTCGACGACCCGCAAGAACTCCTCCAGCTTGTCGGTGATGTGCGGAGCAGCTGCCGCTTCGAAGCACCCGTCCGACGAGGCTAGGATGCTCGCCACTTTGCCGAACAGGAAGTCTCTGGCGATCTTCTCTGGCATTTCCTGCAACGCTGCTCGGGGTGAGGCAGCACTGCTGAAGATGGTGTTGACACCGGGCGTGGCGGGCCTGCATAGCACGGTGGAGGGGATGGCAGGCTGCGCAGCGCTGCGCGGCGGGCTGCGCGTGGCGCGGGCTGCGTGTATTGCGGGGGCCGACGTCAGCGAAGGCCCGTCCGCCTTCTGGAGGTCTCGAGGCAGATACATGTTGGCCAGAACGAGGTCATGAGCATCGCTCACACCGTCGAAGAACGCACCGACCTCGGAGTTCGTCTGAACGCTGCGCAGGCCGCGGGTCATCGCGAGGTCGCCGTGCTTGAACCTCAACGGATCAGAGAGGACCAGGTGCAGTGATCCAGGCTGCGCAGCACTGGAGTCAACGGCGTAGCTGTCACAGATATTCCGCACCAGGGCGGAGAGTTGAATGCCCCCCGCTTTGAAGTTGCCGCCCCAGATGAAGCGACCCCCCGCACATGCATTGTGGCAAGCAAGGAAGGCGCCCATGTGCCCGCCCCCTGTCAACGCTCGTTTGTCCGAGGCGGGCGCTTGGCAATTGACGATAGACACGGGCCCCCTGTCGTCGCCAACGCGAACGCCGAGATGCTGGAAGCGCCGGTCTGCCAGGCCCGGCGCGATGTCGCTGACGAGCTAGCATTGCAGGACCTGCGCGCGATTGGACCTCGCGATCCTCGCGTAGTATCGGTCCACGAACGCAAGCTCAGGCGGCCCCGCTCTGTGAGGAAGCAGTCCTCGGATCCAGGTATAGATGTCGCCTCCTGGGATCTGGCCGAGCTCGCTCAGGCAAAGTATGTCCAGCGCATGAACTTTGAACGCCTTGGCAAGGTCTGATGCCGGCCTGCGCTCTGCGCTCTCCCAACCTCCCCTACCAACCTCCGACAACTGGATTCCCACGTTGTAGAAACCCACTGTGAACTCGGTCCCGTCGGCAGGCAGTTCAGAGGAGGTGGGCTATGAAGCGCCACTTGATGGCGAGGTGGTGGTCTGTGCAGCGCCACCTGCCGAGGCGGGCTGTGCAGCGCCGCTGTCGGGGCCTCTCACGGATGGCGACACCGTCTCCGTCCGGGTTGCCATGGGTTGCCCCGCAGCAACAAAGGTTTCGGTGGGCTGTGCAGCATCATCGGGGCTGCTCTCGGTATCCGACAGACGGCGTCCAGACCATCGGGTCCGCTCCCGGCGCGCCGGAGCAAGAAACGCTGCGATACGGTGATAACGAGATGCCCGATAACGACATGCCCGCAGCCGGAAGTCTGGACCCGTCTTCGGCTACACTCCAGCAAGGGCTCCCAGAGGGGGTCTAGATGGTGCTACATGAACATCAACATGTATGTACGTACGTGTCGTTGAATGTCTAGACGTGCGTATGTGCGTACGTCCGTACGTATGTATGTATGCATGTATGTATGCCAGTATGCTACCAGCTCACGCTCCTCCGCGGCCGCGCGTCAATCCATGCATCGGCCAGTCCGCCCCTGCACAGAGAATTGTTGAATGCACAACATGCGAAAGCCTCGACTGACACGGGCTGTGCAGCACCGTGGAAAGCGATGCATTCATTGCCCGATTTTGTTGGCCGCACTGCCCGCGGCGGTCCGCATCTCCTTGTTCCACCCGAAAGCAGCGAACGCTTGTCTTGGGCCTCTTGGGGGCCTCTTGGGGCTTCTTGGGGGCTGTCCGAGAGAGGCCTCTTGGGGCTTCTTTGGGGCCTTTTGGGCTGCCTTGGGGCCATCTTGTGTTTCTTGGAACGCTCATGGGCCGTCCTGGAAGCTCCCTGGGCCTTCTCAGGCGCATTTCGGGGCCCTTTTCTGAGCAAATCTCGGGGCCCTCGCGGTGGGGGGGGAAGAGGGGGGGGAGGGGGGGGGGGGGGGGCTGTGCAGCACCGCGGACGGCTGCTCTCGTGCTCCCAGGAAGCGCGCGCCAGCGTTCAGCACTGCGCGGCGGTCTGTGAGCGGTGCAAGTTGCGCAACGCTGCGCAGGGATCAGCGCCTCGGCGATCGGCTGTGGGCACGACGGCTGGTCCGCGCAGCAGGCTGCGCAGCGCTGCTTCGGAACAAATTCTCAAAGCTTGCCCGACTGCTGGGCGAGAGCACCGTTCGCAATCTGTTCCCTTCCTGAACCGCTGCCGCACGCAAGCGCTGGTGCACCTCGACGACACTCCGTTTTTTCTCGGATGGATCCTTCTGTTTGGTGCCCCGCGATTTCAACGGGGCCTGCAGCTGCCTCCGGGCATCTCTAGAAGCATCGAGTTCTAAGACGCGCAAGGCCTCGCGAACACGGCATATAGGATCCGCCCTCCGTTTTGTTTCAGGAAGCTGCCCCGCCCAACGCTTAAGGTCTGCCAAAGTCTCGAAAGGTGCTGGGGGGGCAGGTTGACGAATGCTGCCATCAGCAGAGTCTGGAGAACCAGGCCGTTCAGCACCGTTCGGTGACACATGCGAAGCGCCACCTGCAGTCGACGCGGGCCGCGCAGCACCGCCGTCGAGGCCGGACTGCGCTGACGGGGGCATCGGCGGCTGAGGTCCCCGGGCAGGGCCTCCGGGCTCCAGTTGCTGCGGGTCGGAGGCTACGATCTCCTTGTCCAGCGGCTGCTCGACGACGTCGACCAACCTGTCGGGGAGTCGAAGTCGGGGCGGGCGTAGCGGCGGAGCGCGCGAAGGGCGTCCTCTTCGCTCACGTACTCGTCCGTCTGCGTCGCCATCAGGCCCCTCAGCTCCTCGCGCGGCTGCCGACGGATGCGCCCCCTCCAGGTCCGGCTGCCCCGCAGCTCTTCCTCCCACGTCGCCCTCCTGTATGAGCTCTCCAGCATGTCCAAAAAGCCTTGGGGGTAGTCGCAGTAAAAGATTGTCGTCTGGTGCAGGGCCGCTGTCCATTATGCTCGTGGCCCAAGGAATTGGCGAAGTCGATTTGCTATGCCGTTCTGCTGAAGCACGCCCTGCAGGCTGAGCATAAACGCAGAGGAAGTTGCGGCCGGAAGAAGAAGCAGACAGTCGGCTGCCCTGAGGGCCCGCGAGACACAAGTGGGCGGCGGCAGCCCGCGCACAAAGCGCCCGTAAGTCTGGGCAAGCTCGAGCACGGGCAGTTGCAAGTACAGTGGGAATCTTCTTGTGGCGTTCTTAACGCTTCTTGGGGGCCTCTCACGGTGTCATGGAGCCATCTTGGGCTTCTCGGGGCGCTCTTGGGCTCTCTGCGAACGCTCTTGGGCCGTCTTTGAGGGGGGGGGGGAGGCAGTGCAGCATGGCGGATTCGCATGCGCGCAAGCAAACGGCCGCTCTCCCGGCCCTAGGGAGCGCGTGCAAGCGGAGAGCAATTCTGTCTACATCATGACCAGACGGCATGCGGGTCCACCTGTTGGACGCTAATGAGAGACGGCTAGCGAGACAGCACGGGCTGTGCAGCACCGTGGCTATGCAGCCCCGCCGTGCATATGCAGCAACCGTGGATCTCCCTCGTCAAATTCACGGCAGTGGTTGATAAATCAATACCGCTCCAGCCACGAATTTGAATTGCTCAGTCCGCCCCCGCCCCCTGCAGCATGAACTGAGAGAGACCCGACGCTGGTGAGCAACAGACCCCCATCAGCTTGACACGAGCAGCCCCAGCGTGGAACGTCCAGGCTGGCATCGCACTCTGGCCCAGGGACCCCGCCAGCCTGGTCGCCTGGGAGTCAGGCTGTGCAGCTCTGCTCCTCGACCTTCTGCACCCTGGTCGTCAAGGCGTTCGCTGCCATCTTCACGTCGCACAAAAGGTCGATGATCACATCCTCCTTGGACTTCGAGGTCGCGTCCATCTCGCTGGTGTCCTCCGTCAAGGAGCGCTCCGGCGACTGCTCCTTGACCAGCAGCCACGGGTCCTCCGACTTCTCGCCCCTCTCCGCCTTAACCTTCGGCTACGGGAGCTCGAGCTTCGACTGGTTCATCATGTCCTCGGCCTTGATGCCCTGCGTGATCATCCAGTCCGCGAGGCGCTTGTAGCGGTAGCTGTTCAGGCTGACGAGCCACCCGGCGTACTCGCGTTCCTGCTCGATCAGGGTTTGGAGCGTCTTGCCCCGGTGCCTCCCGAACGGCGTGAGATCGGTCGGCTTAACCATGACCTGGTTGGCCTCGAACTTCTCCGTGATGCGGATCTGGAGGTCGCCTCGGGTCTCCTTGCCGCGGAGCATGCACCCCATGGCCGTCGCGTCCCGGACAAGCTCGGCGTACCTCTTGTGCCGGACAGGCGCACCACCGACAGGCATGGCCTGATAGATCTGCCTGAGCCTGGCCCGGAGCATCTCCACCGTCAAGTTGCAGCCGTCCTTGTCCCATTGCGTCATCTCCGACAGCAGGTCGGCCGGGCGCATGTTGGATGTGGCCAAGTGCCTGGAGATCGAGATCTTCGTCCAAGCACTGAGAAAGCTCTGTCTGGCCTCCAGACGTTTGAGCCGCAGCGCTATGGCGTGGGAGTGTTCGGGACCATAGCATAGCATAGCATAGCACAGCGCAACATAGCAGACTGTGGGGCCCACCGGGTCCTCTGTTCCTGCTGAAGCCTCGGCTCTGATTACGGACGATGAGGGAGCTGGGGCCACCCGAGTCCAGTAGGGGCCCCGCTGCCACCGAGTAGTCCACGATAAGGATCCTCAAGAGACACTCCGAGTCAAGTAGGCCCCCCCGCTAGCACGAGTAGAGCTCCAAGACGACCCCGAGGATGTTACTTGTGAGCCCGAGGTGCCCCCCCCCCCCCCCATGGGTTCGGGCCCCCCCGAACCCCCGAGGAGACGAGACGCTTCCATAGCCCCCGGAGCCAGGGGAACCCCAGTGCCTGCAGGAAAAGGAGGCAGGGGCCGAACGACTCGGCGGCGGCGGCAAAGGGCAAAATGAAGTGGTTTCATCGATAGCTCCACCCCTCGACCTCAGGCGGATCGCGGATCGTGGGCCTCGCGAGGCCTGGGCCGCTCAGGCCGCCTCTCTCTTTCTCATATCTCCTGGCGAAGATGCGCAGCAGACGATCCTTCTTCCTGCGCGGACCCAGGCGCCTTGCTCACGCGAGCTCTGGCCGCGTCGCGCCGTCCTCGGCGCGCCCCCCCCCCCCCCCCCGCCCCCCCCGCTTGGAACACTGCAGTGCCAGGGGGGGGGGGGGGGGGGCGGCCGGGCAGGGCCGCTGCGCGCGCCGACCGCAGAGCGGCAAGCGCGCGCCGAGTAAACTCGGGAGGCCCCACCCACCGCTTTATCATGGCGTGGGTGGGCGGGACCTCCAAAAGAAGCGGCGCGGCCCCCTGGCGGCCTGGAGCGAAAAGGGTTGCGGGGGAAGAGGCGAGCAGAGGCAGGGCAGGGGGGGGGCTACGCCAGGCTGGGAAACCCGATGTTCTAACGAAGGTTTATGTTTCCCATCGATAGCTTCACCCCTCGACCTCAGGCGGATCGCGGATCGTGGGCCTCGCGAGGCCTGGGCCGCTCAGGCCGCCTCTCTCTTCCTCATATCTCCTGACGAAGATGCGCAGCAGACGATCCTTTTTCCTGCGCGGACCCAGGCGCCTTGCTCGCAAGGCGCGAGCTCTGGCCGCGTCGCGCCGTCCTCGGCGCAGCGCCCCCCCCCCCCCCCCCCCCCCCCGCCTGGAACACTGCAGTGCCAGGAGGGGGGGGGGGGGGGGGGGGGGGGCAGGCGGGGCCGCTGCGTGCGCCGACCGCAAAGCGACAAGCGCGCGCCGAGTAAATTCGGCGGGAGGCCCCACCCACCGCTTTATCATGGCGTGGGTGGGCGGGACCTCCAAAAGAAGCGGCGCGGCCCCCTGGGAGCCTGGAGCGAAAAGGGTTGCGGGGGAAGAGGCAAGCAGAGGCAGGGCAGGGGGGGGGGGGGGCTACGCCAGGCTGGGAAACCCAATGTTCTATCGAACGTTCATGTTTCCCATCGATAGCTCCACCCCTCGACCTCAGGCGGATCGCGGATCGTGGGCCTCGCGAGGCCTGGGCCGCCCAGGCTGCCTCTCTCTTCTTCATATCTCCTGGCGAAGATGCGCAGTAAACGATCCTTTTTCCTGCGCGGGCCCAGGCGCCTTGCTCACAAGGCGCGAGCTCTGGCCGTGTCGCGCCGTCCTCGGCGCGGCGGCCGCCCCCCCCCCCTCCCGTTCTCTAGCGCGCGCTGCGCCTCGAGCCGCGGGCCCCACCTCGAGGCCCCCGCTCGTGCTGGCGGGGGGACCTGGCCCCGCTCTGGCCCAGCACTCCTACAGCCCGGCCGGCGCTGCGCCATGGGGCGGTCGGGATCTGACTCGCTCGGTGTAGGTTGTCGCCAGGGTCTCCGGAGGTACTCGCCCCTCCTCGCCCTTCCCCCGCCGCCCCTCTCAAGGCCTCAAGCGGAGTCCGTCCCGCCTTGCCCGCAGACCCACCTCTGTGCCTCCTCCTCCTCTCGCAGCCCATCCCTGGGCCCCCTTCGCAGCCTTGCTGGCCTCGACGCCCCCCTGCGCTTCCAGCTCGCGGCCTGCGACCGCAGCTGCCCACGCGCCACGAGCCTCAGGCTACTGCGGCTGTCCGGCCCTCAGACCACTATAATGTCCGCGGCCGCCATGCTGCTAGCCACTCTTTCCGCCATGCCGCGCGCCTCCCAAAGGCATCCCTGAACAACGTCGCTCGCCCCAGCGCCGCACGAGCGCCGTGTCCTTGAATGCCGCATGCAGAGCTGGCGCTCCTCCGATCCTCAGGCTGCGCGAGCCTACGTCGTTCGGACCCATGCCCTCCGCTACAGCCGACTGCGCCACCACGCGCTGGACGTCCGTCTTCGTGACCAGACGCGCGTCGTCGCAGGCGAAGAGCGGATCATGCGCGCGCGCCCCCGAGAGGCGCTCACGCGCCTTTTCCTCGTAGATCTCCAGCGCCTCCACCACGCAGATGCGCTCGTCCTTCTCAGCGCCCGGTGGGATCTCGAGCGGAAGTGGTTGCGCCACTCTCCTCGATTGTACTGATCCGCCTTGCTGGCCCGGATCTTGATCACAACCTCGTTCGCTTCCTTCAATCCTGCGCGGGCCCCCCCCCGTCTTGGGGGTCACATCCGCGCATCGGAGACCCTTGTCGCCAGTGTAGCCGTTCTGGTCGCCGGAGACGTACTCGCTAGCCCTCAGCAGGAAGAAGTAGCCTGTGGCCACCGCGGCCCATAGGGCCGCGCCCTCCCTGGTCCTCTCTGGCTGCAGCTTCCGCCTGATCCACCTCATCACGCGGGGCGTGACAGACCTCTTGCGCTCGGCGTCGCCGTCGCGCCTCCGGAGCCCGTCAATCGCCATCCAGAGTCTGTTCGTTCCCTCGGCGAGGTCGCCCATGCCGAGAGCAATATGCCGAGCCCGGACCGAGCTCAGGTACTGCTTGATGGTCCCTGCCTTTCTGCAGCCCCTGCGTGCCAGATGAATGACAATCTCCAGCAGCAGCTCCTCCTCGCCCCTCCTGTTCGCGGCCGTGACCTCCCGCAGCGGGTTGGCGCCCCTGGCCCGGCAGAAGAGGGTCCACCACCTCCAGCCCAAGCTGTGCGACTTGATGGTGGAGCTGGCCAGCTTGTCGAGGATGAGCTTCAATTTGGCCCTCTCCCAGTCCTCTCGCGTCTTGAGGCCCGTCATGGCGAGGTCGCCTGGGCGAGCGCTGGACCTCGCAGCCTCCGGGTCCAGCAGGTTGGGCGGCTTGTTCTCGTGGGGGGCGCGACCCGCGCTGCTGCTCTTCTTGCCCTTCCTCGTGGACGCGCCCGCCTTGCGACCTTGATCCTCATCGGCGCCCAACGCTGCCAAAGCCCAGTCGAGCCACCCACCCCTCTGGTCTGGGTGGCCCCACGCCCGCACGAGTGCCTCCAGCTCCTCCGCTGCCTCTGCCTGCTCGAGACCTCCGCCCCTGCGGTCGCCTCCTCCTCCACCCCGGCGCCTGCGACCCGCCTCGTAGTCGGAGCGCGGGCCTGACCCCCTCGCCACGGTCTCAAGATGCGCACGCACCCCCGCCTGACTAGGCCCAGCGCCGCCAGTGCCCCTCACGTCCGCCAGGTACCGTGCCGCCGCGCGCGGGTCGATCCCGATGTCCTCGCTCGGGGCCGACCCATGGGCTGCGCGTGAGCCCTCCTCGCCCTGGGCCCGCCTACGCTGAGCCGCCTCCTTCCGAGCCTCCTCAGCTGCCTTATCCTCTCTGCGCTTGATCTCGATGGCCTGCGCCCGCAGCTCCGCCATCCTGGCCTCATTACTGACTGCTAGACTGGCATCCTGGGTGCCCCCTGGGAACCCTGGCCCGGCTGAGCTCGCCGCCGTTGCAACTGCCCCCCCCCCCCCGCGTCCCTGAGGGCGACGCCCCTCCTGAGCGGGCTGCGGAAAGACGTCCTCTCCCGGGGCATGGGCATCGGCAGCGGCTCCCTGGCCTTCCGGAAGTCGGCCCCCCGCGTGGGCCTCGGCGGTGCAGACCGCAGCTTCCGCCTAGGGCTCGGGGGGCGCCTGCTCTCCTCCGATGACATCGACCTCTCCTGCTCCTCGGCGGCGCTCAGTTCCCGCGCGGCGTTCTCCTCCCTGCCGCGTGCGTCTCGGATCCGCGCCTCGAGGGCCTCGGCCTCCTTCAGGGCGCGCTCGGCCTCGGACAGGGCTCGCTGGTAGCCCTTGTCGATCCCCTCCAGCTCCGACGCAGGCCGACCCTCAACTCGCTCCGAAAGCCTCTTATACATACCCCTACTGCCTCGCGCGCGTCGCCCCTGGCCACCTTCTCACGACCATCGCGGGCCGACGCCAAACCGGCTGATGCCTTCGCGCCCTCGCCCTGGGAGTGCACTTCCTCTTTGACGGTCGGCGGCGGCGTCCTCGCCGTCAGCCTGGCGCGCTCGTCCGGCATGTTCTTGCGAGTGGCCCCCGGCGCCGCCTCGACGTCTGGAGGGGGGGGGGGGCCCTTGACGCGAGCCTCTGCCTCTCTTTCCCTCCTCTTGAATTCGCTCGGCGACGGAGGTGGGCACTCCGGCGACGATCCGCTACCCCCTGAAGCAATGGCGGCGGCAGCCACGGCGGCCTCAATCGCAGCGGCCACGTCACCGGACGGGGCCTGCTTCTTCTTCCTCCGCCGATTCCTGCCTCCGCTTCCGCCGCCCCCACGCGGCAGCTGATCCTCATTCTGGCAGTGGGGCGCCTTCTCGCAGTGCTTGTAGTGGTTGACGCCGCCCTCTGCCCAGTCCTGTTCGTTGCGCCGTCCTCCGCACTTGTCGCCGCAGCAGCCCGGCTTCCAGAGCTGCCTCGGATCGCTGTGCTCCAGGTAGGGGCACCCCAGGTTAAGGTACGGGGCGAGCGTCGTGGCCTGTGCCCGCTCCTTTGCCTCGGCCTGCGCCACCTTGGGCCCCGCCGCCGCCGCGCTCGACGAGCTGGCCGCTCCCGGGGTGGGCGCGCCCGGGACCTCCGTCCACTTGCCCCAGCGCTCGTCGTCGTCAATTGCACCT